TCGCGAACTGAAGACTGTTCCTGACGGTATCCCTCGGCCACCTCGCACAGCACAGCATCAGACATCACGGTGGGGAGGGGAGGATGGGAAGGGGGTTGTGCGACCAAATGTTTCTCCTCCTCCCCCTCCCCCATGCTAGCCCATGCCGTGCCGTGCAAGATGGCCTGTGATGGCAGAATCAAGGCATGGGCCTCCTGTGTGGGGGGGCCCTCTTGGGCAATTTCGTAGCCAATCCTCAGATTCCTCCTCATCTTCCTGCCGTTCTTCTCTTCGCTTCTCCAGGAAGCAACAAACCATGTGAAAGCAACAAACAACGAACAACAAAACATGCAATGTTTTGGGAAAATACAGACAGCGCGGCGGACCCTTGCGAAACATGGCCCCCTACTGTTTTTTAGCGTTTAGTGTTGTTTGTGTGTTTTCGTGTTCCAATGCGTTTCTTTGGTTCTGCTCCAAAACGGAAATCATATTAGGCGGGAGGAGGAGGAAGAGGAAGAGGAGGAGGAGGATAATGAGCAGGAGGAGGAAGAGGAGGAGGAGGAGAAGGACGATGAGGAAGACGACGACATAGACGACGACGGCGGCAGTGGTGAAGACGACGACAACAGCGACGAGGACACGGCGCGCTTCTGATTTGCCGCTGCAGGCTACACCCTCCTTCTCCCCAGAACCAGCGCCGAAAACAGAGACATGACAATAACCTGGACCAGAGACAAAACAATAACCATCGCAAGAACCTCAGATTCCCTACCCCGCATCGTGCCTTGATGCGGTAGAAGGGGGGCATACGCAAATGGAACACATGGATGCCCATTGTTTCTGCCATGTGGACGCAAGGTCCGAGACACTGCACGTGACCTGGCGCGGCGGAAACAAAGGCCGTCGCAACATGCGATCACCCTTCGGCCGCACGCGGAGCAGCTCAGCGCAGCTAAAATGAGCCAGGTGCCTAGCGCCCATCAGATAGCAGGGGGCAGCGGGGAATCCCAAACATGGGTTCCCACCTCCGCGCCCAATAACACGGCCATTCGCCTGTGCGCGATTGCCCAAGAGCCCAGCAAGTACGAGGGGCAACGTCGATTTCCAATATTGGCCGATGGAACATTACCAGCACAATGGTGTTCCTGATGAGGCTGGTGGTGTTGGCGCTGCTTCTGCTGATGCTGGTGCTGCTGGCAATGCTGGCGCTTTTCCTTCTGGTGCTGCTCTTGGTGCTGGCGCCGCGCTGATCTCGCAACTCCTTCAAGGCCATATCACAGGGGGCCGACGCCGACGTTCTGCCTTGATGGGGCAGCACGTTATGGAGCCCTTGCCCGTCTTCACTCCGTCGGGCTCCGCAGTGCTCGATCGGTTCGAGCTGTTTCATCGCACTCGGCTTTCGCGCCCGCGCTTCTTTATCGCGTCTGCCATGGGGAGGGGAGGGGGGCGCAACCCTCCCCCAGACCCTCCGCGGGACTCTTGGGGACGCCGTCGGGGACGAAAGCATCAACTGCAGCGAGGCCCTGGCGCGCGCCGACGGCGTGGAGCCCCGCGTCCACGCCGGCCCTCCGCACGGCCACGTCTGGCAAGAGGGATTGTCGGAGATGGCGGACCTTGCTGCTGCGCCCACCCATGAAGCATGAAAATATCCTACTTTGGGGGCCTGTTGGTAAACAAGGACCACGAGGAGATCCAGGGCACCGGCGGGGAAACAGTCGGTGTCCTCACGCGGCGGAAAGACGCCGAGGGGCAGCCGCGCCGCTTGGGCGCGGTCAAGGCCCTTGCGACGAAGTCCACTTCCAGAGCCCCCACCTCCTCAGCCGTTCAATCTTAAGAGCCAACCTTGCGCGCCGCGCGCCACGCAGAGTTTCGTCGCGGGCGCTGGCAAGGCTCACATCTTCAAGGGCGTTGACATGAAGGCCCGGCTCGTCGAAATGGCCACCTGCGAGCCAGCGCGTCAGCATGGGAACCAGCGCAGGGCAAGCCGCAATGCGATCTGTTATCTTATGAAGTAGCTCGGCGGATTGCAGATTCGCTTTTCCGCGCTGGCAACCGCGGCGAAACCCTCCCAGCGTTCGGCCGAGCGGGGCTAGAAGCTCGAGGACAGCGCTGCACCGAGAAGAAGGACCCGAAACGCAACGCCCGCAACCAGTTCATGGGGCGCGCAGACAGGGACAGTTTGGGGGGGGAACTCGGCGCCATCGGGTCAATCACATGCCCCCCCCCCCCCCCCCCCCGACCCCTTCCCCTCCGGGAGAAGCTCGGCGGGCTGCGGATGCGTTTTTTTCGCGCTGGCAACCGCGGCGAAGCATTCCAAGCCTTCGACCGAATTGGTAAGAAGCTCGGGGGCACCACTACACCGAGAAGACTGGCCCGAAGAGCGTCGTCCGCCACCAGTTCATGGATTTCGCAGACAGGGGCAGTTGGGCGGAGGGAGCGCGGCGCCGTCTGGTTAGCCACAATCCCCCCCCCAAAGCCGAGCGGCGCGGTTCTTCCCCCGCCCTTAGTGCGCCGACGACCCGCAATCACACATCTGCAGTAGGGAGGGTTCTGCGTGACCCAGGCGCTGTGGAACCGCGCGAGCGGGCGCGTCAACGCCGAGCGCTTCGCTGCCTGGGTGCTCACGCTCAAGGGCTTCGAGCCGCGGCTCATCAACGAGGTGCTCGCGGAGACCCCGCCAACGCTTCGCCGCAATGGCGAGCTCTGCATGGGAAACAAGGCGCCGCATGCACTTGCGTTCTCGATGCCCGTGCTCAAAATCGGCGCCCCTCAGAGCGACGCCGGGAAAGGCGCCCCCGAGCCTTGTGTTGTCACCGCGGAACAGATTGACCCCTTCTTGGGCGAGCCAGCGGAGCGGGCGCTGTCCGCGGTGCTCGGCGACGGGGGCCTGCGCCAGCAGGGCGTGCCCGCGTGGAAGGCGCTCTTCAACCCGAGCGAAAGGGGCCTCATCCTGCGGGCGAGGCGGGGGCCCAGCACGTTCGCCCCATGGGGCGCCTCGCCGGGCCATGAACAAAAACTACGACAATCATCTGGCGAAAAAGTCGGCGGCAACATGGCGCCGAAAGCAAGCCGCGGACAATCCTCTCGAGCATCCCACGAACGTCCTCGCGCCTTCTCTGAAGCAAATCACAGAGGGTGAGGGCGCGCAGGCCCTGCCCGCGAGGGGTCGCGTCGTCGTGACCACGGGCAAAGTGCGCACTTCCGATTGGGATCCGATGGGTTCCTGGAGGTTGGAAATGCCCTTCCCCTCATGCAGCAAGACCTCGCGGGCCGCCCTCCCCAACCGCTCGCCCGAGACGCGCGCGTGCCTTGGCAAGAACAAGGGCGGCCCGCTCCTGCCCCTGCCGAACAATTACCCGTCCGACTGCAAGGGGCAGACGGAGTGGTCCTTGAATCCTGCGATACGCCTGATGCTCGGCGAAGACGCGCCCGCCGTCTCGGTCACCCGCGGGGCCTTGCTCGTCGGATAGCCCGCGCGCGGCGTGCAGCCAGGTCGCGGCCCCACCAGTGGGCGGTTCAAGCGGCGGCGCGGCTTCTTCGAGCGGCCTGCCGGGGCCACGCGCGGCCGCTGGCGCGGGGCGCACTGGCGAGCTGGGCGACGCGGGCGCCGCCGAGCAGACGGCCATCTACAACGCGACGCAGCGGCAGCTCTTCGAGGGCAACCAAGGAAAAGGGGCGGCGCGCTGGTTGATCTGACGTCGGCTCCTCGCAAGCGCCCGTCGACGGGCGCCATGGCCCCCGTCGGGGCGCGGCGGCAGGCCCCGCGACGTGGGCATGGCGGATCAGGCCGCGATGCGCGAGCAGATCCAGCATCCGTTCTTCAACCAGGACCTGGCGGACATTGGCGCGTAAGTGGACATCGCTGCCCCCCCCCGTATGCACCGCGGCGCGGCGGGCGACGGCATGGGCTCAGAAGCCGAGCTCGAGCGCCACCTCGACACTGAGGGCGAACGCGCCCGCCAGCAAATGGCAGAGGCCCGCGAAGCTGCGGGCGAGGTCGCCGCTGGCCAGGGCGGCGTCATTACGGATTGCGCCGAGGGGGTTTCCCCTCGCGCGGGCAGCGCAGCCGCTTTCGGCTCGGGCAATGACAGGGCGAGCGCCGCCGAGGGGGCGCGCACCGCAGGTGCCCCGGATGAGCCGTTGGCGCGCTGCACACCCCTTTCACTTATAATGTCATGCTTGATGCGCACGCGCATGAGCAGACTAATTGGAACATTGTCGTCGCCGTTGCCCGCGGCGTGAATTCTGGCCGCCAGTGCACGGCGACGTCGGGGTTGCTCTGCTGGTCATGCGTTCTTCGTATTGCAGAGGCCGCCGCCGCCGTGGCCAGAGCTGTCTGCGCCGCCGCCGCCGTCGCCGTTTTTGTCTGCGCCGCGCGTGCAACGCCACTCGAGGGCGCTTCGGGGCGCGGCAAGAGCCGCCCGCTGGCGGGGGGGCAGCTGACGGACGCGATGGGTGGGCGCTGCTCGGAAGAAGCCAACTGCCGCTGCGCGCTGCAAGAGCCGCGCCCGCGGCGGCCAGCCCCCCAGAAGCGCTCGACCCAGGCAGCAGAGCGGAGGCGCGGTCGACTGGAACAAGCGCGCAAGGCGCGCAAGGCACACGAGGCCAAACGCAAGCGACTCGAGACTTCTGGCGTTTTCTACACGCCGACGAAACAGCAGATTGCCCGCGTTCGCCGCGGTCGCTCGTCGCTGAAGTAGGCGTGCCGTTACGACGGCAATCGGGCCGTGGACACGATGGCCGCCTGGTACCTCATGGCGTAGGCGGGCTACCTGGGAATGCCCGATGACAGCGCGTGCCCCACGTGCGGGTGGTCCGTCGGGGCCGCGTGCTTCGCAGGCGATCAGCGCCCGCGCCAGCGTTGTCGGCGAAAACCTTGCGCCGCGAAAGGTCAATGTCCCGACTCGCACCTGGGCAGACGCGCAGATCCCGCTGCCGAAGATCGCGCGCGTCGCCTTCCTCGCATGCGGCGCTCTGACAGCGCGCGTGAGCGCCGACGACATGGTGTTCATATCGAAGGTGGGCCGCCAGCAATGCGATACGGTGATGAAAGGCTTGCGCGACATTACCGTCGACGCATCCATCGAACAGCAAAAGGGCACAACCATGTTAGGGCAGTATGAAACCGACGCCATAACGGCCCGCGTCGTTCAGCTGAAAAAAAAAAACGGCAAGATGATGCACGTGCGGGCTTGCATGTGCAAGCGGGGCGACCACACGCAAACCATCCTGTACATGCTGCCCACATTATACTCGGTCCCTAGCGGGCCCAAGCGACCCGAGTCCAAGCCCGAGACGGAACCTCTTAGCTCGCGCCACACGGGCAGCGACCACTTCATCTAGCACACGGAAGGAGCAAGATGTTATCGGCATCCTGACAAAAAAGACCGGCGCGAAACACTCCAAGCGCCAGTGGGTTTCGGTGAAGGACTTGGTGCTTAAATGTGGTGGCGTGCCATGCTGTTACGGCAGTGCCCCGCTTCACGACGGCCTGTGGACCCGCATAAACGGCCGCGTCCCGACGACGATGAACACGCACCCTGCGAACACCCAGGGGAACGTCCACAAGTGGGTGCGCCTGTGGACGGGCGCGCCAGGTGCCCCGACATGTTCTTGGAGCCGGGGTCGGCCGCGCACGTGGCCGCGGAGCGCGGCTGCCTTCAGGAATGCACGTTCTTCCCTTTTCGGTACCCAGAGCACTGTTCATTGCCAGCGGTAACATTAAAGCCCCAAGCCCGCGCCGCGGCGAAGTGCCGCGTGGTGATTCATGGGCACACGCCCGCACATATTGTACACCACTTGCTGGGAGAGCTCTGTATCGGAACCATGCGCGTCATGGGGGATAGAGGAGGAGGGGGACAACATATGGAGAAAGGAGGTATCTCTCACTCTCATGTGTTTGTCCTTCTCTCCTCTCTCTCTCTCTCTCTATCTCGCCAAAATCGCAATTTCTTGCTGCCAAACGGCAGCGAGGGCCCCTCCACGGGTGTCCCACGGCAGTCCATCCCATGCGGTCAAGATCCAAATTGCCAGCCGGAAAAGCACGGAGAACAAGGAGGATCATGAGTATATAGGACGGGGGATTGAGTACGATGAGGAGACGGCGCGACATCATGCCCAGCGTTCCCCCTTGCCTTTGCGCAACGGTCAATCATGACACGCTACGGGGGAGGAGACCAGCCGACATAATCAAACACTCGCAACCACCGTGACATACAATGTTGGCCAGCGTGGGCTCCTTTGCGGAGTCTGCTACTTAGCACCAACGGAGCTGTGCAGTGCAAGCTATGCGGAATAAACAGTGTGGAAACAGCCACGTTGTGTGCGCCATGTGGTGCTCGCCGCCTGGGTTATAGCCATGTTGCGCAAGCTGTATGGTGAGAGGTGTGGTGTGCACATGCGGTGCGAAAGCTGTGCGGTGTGAAGATGTGTGGTGCGAGCTTTACTGCGCAAGCAAAATGCCCCACCCGGTGCACGAGCCGCCCACGAGCGCCCACGAGGCCCCCACGCGCAGGCACTCGTCGAAGTGCCGACAGACTTACCCGGGGCAACGGGCGCCCGCGAGAGCCCACGAGGCGCCCACGCGCGGGCACGCGGCGCCAACGAGGCGAACCCTCGGCGACCCCACCAAGGGCACGTGGCGCCCACGGGCGGGCACGGGGCGCAAACGAGGCGAAACGTCGGCGGACCCACCCAGGGCACGGGGCGACAACGAGCGCCCACGAGGCGACCACGGGCGGGCACGTGGCGGCAGCAAGGCGAACCTTCGGCGGACCCACCGAGTGCACGGGGCGCCCACGAACGCCCACAAAGCGCTCACGCGCGGGCACGGGGCGCCAGCGATGCGAAACCTTGGTGGACCCACCCAAAACACGGGGTTCCCACGAGCGCACACGAGGCGCCTACGGCAGGGCACGCGGCACCAAGGAGGATACTCCTCGGCGGACCCCACCAGTAACTTAGAGACGCGGCAACCCTTGAGTGCAAGCAATGCCCTGGGAAAAGGACCCAAACAAACAACGCTAATCAGAAAACCCGTCAGGGAGGCAATGCACAACAAGCGATAGCCGTCAACACAACCACTCTCGAGGAAGTTACTGCGTAAAACATGCGCTTCCCTGAGGGACGGATTCGAATGACGAACGTGCGTGGAATGTTCGGTCCTCATCAGATGTTCCCTGTCTCTGGATAAACGCCGATGGTGCAGCGTGGACGAGTGGTGCTGTGGGCGCATGGACCACATGTGCCGTTCGATGTGCCCCCCTGTCCTCACCAACATGGCAGACCAAAGCAGCAAACCGCTCGCATGTGGTCCAACCCCTCGATCGGCCTGTGGCCCGACAACTACCCCCAGAAGTTGACATCTACGGAACACACCAGGACTGAACAAGAGCTCACAGTCGGAGGTCTGGGGGAAGGACCCGGGGAAATGGACGTGTGTCACGGCCAACCGAAAAAGCCCGTGCGGGGCGGAATCGTGCGCCAGGCGGGCGGGGCGTCAGCGAGGAGAGGGAGAGAGGAATGGAGTAGTATGAAGAGAATTCTGCGGCAACTCGTGGGGGGCGCCCGTACCATCTTGTTGTCTCTTGCGAATCGACGCTAATCGACGCTATTATGCGCTGGGTCTGCGCTACCTCATCGATTGCCAGGCCAGGCGCTAATCCACGCGAGCGCGCTCTAAAGACGGAGCTACGAGGTACACAGGGCTCCCATGATTTGCGACCGAAGAGACAAGAGAGGGCATACACGTCAAGTGGGTGGAACGATCCAGTAACAGAAGGCGTTTAAACATCAAGTAGATTGGCTGTCGGACCCCCCCACACCCCAGACAAAAAGGCCGATAAGCAGACAAACGATCGATTCTCGGAGATGGATGGCGCCGCAAAGCAGGTGTTAGGCATGGCTCGCATTCTGAGAAGCATGAATGCCAGCGGTCGGCGAGTAGGCCTGGCGAGCATGCTGTCAATATTTCTCTCTTCGAACTGAAGGGCCACGTTAGGAGGTGACCATCCCAGGGGGTGGATCATCGACCCCGAATCGGCGATATATCTCCGACTGATCGGAGATAGGCCCCACGTGGCAAATCCGCATGGTCCTAGGCGGGTTGGGCTGTCGGGCCTCACATTGGCAATCAGTGGGCGATTGGGGCCGATGTGCCCCCCTGAGCAGATCCCCGATAACGTTGCCCCTGGTAAGCACGAGTTGCGATGGGCAGCCTGGCCGGCGAACACACGAAGTCCAAAGCGCGCGGCTTCCAACTGCGCACCCCGGGATGGCCAAGGCCCAAGAACAGGCATGACAGCGACCCCCGCACCCGCCGGCCGGGAAATCCCATTCACGCCGTTTAGGCCGAGAGTGGCTTAACGCGTTGGTACTTCCAACCTCCTCCTCCCGCCTCGGGGAAGGACTCATCTCTGCCCCTTGGTAAAGTATACCCCCTCCCACACTCTGCTGGCCACTGGCCAGGGCCCATGCCGACCCCCCCGCCCCCCGCCTCGGTCAACCAGCAATCAAGTGTTAGCCAGCGTGGACTCCAAACGGTGAGTCCTTGCACTGAGCAGGTGAAAGCTATGCAGTATTAGCTATGTCGTGCAAACTATGTGGTGTAAGCTATGTTGTGAACGCCTATGCGATGTAAGCTACGTGGAATGAGCTGGAGGCGTAAGCTATGTGCCGTGTGCTGGGGGTACTCGTGTGTGAGCTGGGGGTACAACGTATGCAGAGTAAGCTACGTGATGTGAGCTAAAAGGTAAAAGCCATGTGGTGCAAGCTGTGCAGTGTAAGCTACGGAATGCAAACTGTGTGGTGTGACATTTGCTGTGAAAGCTATGCGACACAAGCCATGCCGTGCAAGCTACGCTGTGGAAGCTACCATGCTGACCCTACGGGGCGCCCACGGGCGGGCACCGGCGCGCACGTGGCGAAACCTCGGCGCCCACGGAGGCCCACGGGCGGGCACCAGGCGAAACTTTGGCGCACCCACCCAGCGCACGAGGCGCCCACGGGCGCCCACGGGCGGGGACCAGAGACAACCTCGGCTGAAAACAGCCAGCGCACGAGGCGCTCGCGGGGCCCACAGGGCAGGCACGTGGCGACGCCTCGGCAGACCCACCAAATTCTGTAGAACGGGAAGCGATAACCCATGACCGCAAGCACTGCTAGGTGAAACTACCATTTGATTCAAAATCACTGGACATGGCGTTTTGGAAAGATCGGGAAGGGGTGCATGTTGGCCCACGCGTGCAGGACCGTCACCCCTGTCAAACATCGATGCACAGCTCACGTCGCGGCAACATCATGGACAATGAGTGGGCGCCCCGTTGCGCTCAGTGGTTCTTACTTGCTGCCCAAGGAACTCGGCGGCGGTGGCGGTCACGCGGCTATGTGGCCGTCGTCGCCGCTTCGTCGCCGCCCGTCGTTAAGGCACTGTATTGCAATCGCATCGCACTGCGCTGCATAACAATCGCAGTGGTTTGCGCTACATTGGATTGCATTGCGTTGCATTGATTTGCAGGGATTTGTATTGTTGTGCGCGCCGTTGTTTTGCGTTTCGCTGCTTCACATGGTCAGTGCTTCTCTTTGCGTTGCACTGCTTGGAATGGCTTTGCATAGCATTGGTTTGCACTGATGTGAGTTACGCTGCGTAGCTTGCACCACACATACTGCGCAACATACATTGCACCACATAGATTGCACAGCACAGGTTGCACCGCGTAGCTTGCACCACATAGCTTGCAACACATGTATTGCAGCACATAGAGAGCACCACACAGCTTGCACCACGTAGACTGCAACACATAGAGTGCTAGAACACACTGTTCGGGGCCCGCGCTGGCTAACCTTGTGTGGCAAGGACGACGGGGATGCCCTGGAACGCGCGGTGCGCCTCGCTGGCGCAGCGGGCCTTGCTTGCGTCTGCATTCATTCCCGAGGGCGGCCCCTGCCCATGCTGAGCCTTGGGTGCTACTTCTATGATGGGAAGGCGGGTGGAGGTGTGAGCGAGACGTCCGTTCTTCGGGGGGGAAAGGGTTGCTTCATCACTGCTCTTTATCTATGTACACCCTCTCCCCCACCCGACTGACAACAAAACAAAGGCAATGCCCCCCCCCCCGCGGCATCCCTGTCAACAGTGCCAAGTTCAAGTTGCGGCAAACTCTGGAGTCACGTTTGTGGGGCCCGCGAGCACTTTGTATTGTCTTTTGACATGGGCTGCGGGGGTGCTGGTAGATGGCCTGCCATGCGCAATGCCACCACCCCTGTCAAAACAACAGACTGCACTTCGCGGCTTCATCTGGATCATGCGCGGGCACCCCGCGAACACTTCGCATGGTGTTCGACAGAGACGGCGGGGGTGCTGGCATATGGCCTGCTGCGTGCAGGCCCACCAGGCATCATGATGCCCACCCCGCCGCGATTGTGCATCGGCTTACGACATGGGATGGTTCGGGCCGACGTGGAGCACCTCGCCCCAGCGTCGTGCACCTGGGGTCTGCATTGGTTCCCAATGGCTGCCCATTCAAAGGCGACCGCTGAATATGCCGAGACTCAGGTACTGCTTATGTGTTGGGAGGGCGGATGGGAGTGAGCCAAACACTCCAGCGACGCGTTGGAGTGTCCAAGATGGCCAGATGTGGGCGCCGATTGTCCCAGATACAACAGGATGGCCTCCAAGATCGCACAAAACAGTCCAAAGTGGCTCAAGTTAGCTTCCAACATGCCGCCAAGAGGCTCCAAAAACGGCCCCAAGTCGGCTACAAGCGACCACAGGGCCTCTCAAAGACTCTCTCAAGAGCACAAGATCATTAGACAACCCAAGGAGCATCAAGACCATATTCGCCTTTTCGCTTCCAAGATTGCCTCAACGATGGCCCAAAGTGAGCCCTTAAAAGATGCCCATGAGGGCTCCGAGACGGCCCCATAAGTGCCCTAGCCGGCCCCCAAGGAACCACAAGAGACGATGTTTTGGCCTCCGACTGGGGAGGCGTAACTGATTACCGCCCATTCTATCATCGATGGCCTCCAGGATAGCCCCGAGAGGGCGTCCAAGGCCCCACACACTGTGAAGAGCAACTGCATTCGGAAAACAAAAAAAATCGAGAACGCCGCCTGGCGAGGTGGCGACGGCAAGCCCAGGCCCGAAACGGCTCGGAGGAGCCGCTGCCTCGACGGGTAGCCCAAAACGGCTGACGAGAACGGGAATTCGGGCCCCGCGGGCCTGCGGTGTTGACGAGTGCGCCGGGCCGCATGGTGCCTGGCCTGCGGCGTTGACGCAAGGACGGGAGGCCTGCCTGGCCGCGAGGCGGCGGCGCGAGGAGAGGGAAGACAGAGGAGGAAGCCTCGCGCGAGGCAGGAGTCGCGCCAGCGGAGGAGGCGTCCTCGCCTAGGGCCCCAAGGAGGATCCCAGGAGGGCCCCAAGAGTGCCCCAGCGGCCCGCAAAATGGCACCGATGTGGCACAAGTAAGCCGCCAAGGAACTACCATCTAGAAAGGTGCGGGAGGACGCTTATGGCTGATTCCTGGGTCTGCTCAGGCTGATCCCGATACTTAGTTTGACGGCTGCCCCATCTTTGTTCTACTGTGTGTTTCTACACTTCCCTGATCAACGCAACTTGCCTTGTCATCGTTTCTGGATGAACGGGTGGGGACACGCGAAGCGTCAAGAATAGCCTACACCCCTCCGACGCGCCCCGCACTGCTCGGGGGCCCTGTTGAAGCCAGCTGGGAATGCCGGGGGGGGGGGGGCTCGCAACCCGAAACCTTACCAGGCCGACAAGCCGGCCCCCAGTAAGAGGTCGAGAGGTCCGGGGGCCACGCGTTGAGCATGGCGTCGCAGGTCTGGGAACCTAAACGGGAGCGGGCCAGTCAATTCGGAAGGTGCTTCAGGTCTGGGGGGAGGCTGCCTCGCCGCTTCCTGGACCCAGATCTTCGGTATAAGGTCGGCAATAAACTTTAAAATTCAGTGACAGATGGAACGGGGTCAGCTTGCAACGCCTGGCGCAACTCCGCCATGGGTCGCAGCGCAGACCCTCACCATTCAATCGATGGCCCTCACTGGCCAAGACCATCCACCATTCATACTGCGGCTCTCACTGGCCCAGACTTCCGACGACGTCACATTTTCAGCCCCGTGGCCGCAGAAGTCCCCGCTCCAGTCCAGGGAGCTGACTTTCGGCCCGGATCCATGTCTGGTGGCCAGGGCCCGACTGCGCAATGCGAGCCCAGGAAGGCTGGGACAAAATCGGACTGGGACAAGTTGGGGACCTCTGAGGTCCAGCGGTTCTGACGGATGTACCTGGCGCCGCGGCCGTTCCAGAGCGCTCCGTAACACTACGACAGCGATCCAGCACGAGCTGCAGCGATTTATCCTGGTCCCGCGCGATTGCCGGCCCTCGGATGCCGACAGCGAAGGAACGCACGCCTGGGCTGACAAAGACCAGTCTGGCGGAGGTCTGGGATCTCGAGGGCGTCCAATGAGGTGGGATTGCAAATCATGGCCCGAGGCAAGAGCGCGGCCTAGGGGGGGCCAAGGGACGTGGTGAAAGCAGAATAGGGGACCGTGAAAACGATCAGATATCCTGGCCACGGCCACGATATCCAACCCGCCCTCGCAGTCATCGCCCCCATCCCCCACGGTTCCCTTCTCAGCCCATTCGGCGTCTGAGCCCTTTCGGCCGCCGAATGGGCAGCCGAACGGGCTAAGTTTCGACAGGTTCGAAGGAATTGATCCCGCTCGGCCGCCGAATGGGCTCGATCGTGAGCACTCTCGGCGGCAGAATGGGCTCTGGCGCCGAATGGGCTCAGAAGGGAGCCCAGGGGTCGTGGCCGCCCCCATAGATCGATGGCCCTCGCCTTGGAAAGTGTCAAAAACGCCTGGGGGCGTCTTTGCTCAGTTTCAAGATCGGCGTTTTTGTTTATGTTATGGGGCCGTTGTTTTTCCCCGTGCGGGGAGTCTCGTTCGCGTCGTGTTCGGCTCGATTCCGTTTCGTGGTGCTTATATGCCTATTTTGGACTGCCGCTTGATTGTAACTGTTTTTTGGTTGGCCGAAAACAAAAGCATTGAAAGCGGAAAGAAGAACAGCTCCCACACGGAGAAACAAAGCACAACGCGACCGGAGATCCCCAAGCGGGGAAAACAACAACAACAACAACAACAACAGCAGCAGCAGCAACACCACCACCAACACCACCACCAACACCAACGCACACCATCATCAACAACAACAAGGAACAACCGCGCGTAAGTGCCCCATGGTCCCGGACCTCGTTCCCCGCGTTCTCCCCTAAGGCGGAACCACGCGTCTGTGCCCCATTGGCCGGTTCGGTTCCCCCCCCCAAGCAACCAGCAACCAGCAACCACCAACCTGGGGTTCCGTTCCCTGCTCCGCTGGCGAATTTGCTCGCTTAAGGGTGTGGACTCATCCTCCATGCCATTTTGCCGTGTCTGCACCAGCGAAGCTCCGGAATCTACGGAGTCCTATCGGATCCTTAGGGGTGGATCCAGCTCTAATAGAATCCTATCATTGGTGGATCCAGCTCTACTACAATCCTTTTAGTGGTTTATCCACCTCTACTGCAATCCTATTAGTGGTGGATCCACCTCTACTACAATCCTAGTGGTGGTGGATCCACCTCTACTGCGAACCTATTGGTGGTGGATCCAGTTCTGATGGAATCCAAGTAGTGGTGGATCCAGATCTGATAAAATCCAATTAGTGGTGGATCCAGCTCTGAAAGAATCCTATTAGCGGTGATCCAGCTGTACTAGGGTCCTATTAGTGGTGAGTCCAGCTCTGATCGGATCCTATTAGGAGTGGATCGAGCTCTGATAGAATCCGAGTAGGAGTGGATCCAGCTGTGATAGTATCCTATTCGGAGTGGATCCAGCTGTGATAGAATCCGATGGGTGGATCGAAATGAAGCTTCGGTGCAGCTCCCTGTGGGGCCAAGGCCACGATCCTCGAGAGGGGTGTGCCGAAATGAAGCTTCGGTGGAGCTCCCTGTAGGGCCAGGGCCGAGATCCTCGAGAGTGGTGTGCCGAAATGAAGCGTCGGTCCAGCTCCCTGTTGGGCCAGGGAGCTCCCTGTGTGGCCAAGGGCACGATCCTCAAGATGGGTGTGCCGAAATGAAGATTCGGTTGCGTTCCTTGTGGGGCCAGGGCCAAGATCCCCGAGAGGGTTGTTTTGCCGAAATGAAGCTTCGGTGGAGCTCCCTGTGAGCCAGGGCCACGATCCTCGAGAGGTGTGCACCGAAATTAAACTTCGGTGGGGCTCCCTGTGGGGCCAGGGCCACGATGCTCGAGAGGTGTCCGCCGGAATGAAGCTTCGGTGGAGCTCCCTGCGGGGCCAGGGCCGCGATCCTCGATGGGGATGTGCCGAAATGAAGCTTCGGTGGAGCTCCCTGTGGGGCCAGGGCCACGATCCTCGAGAGGGGTGTGCCGAAATGAAGCTTCGGTTAAGGTTCCTGTGGGGCCAGGGCCACGATCCTCGAGAGGGGTGTGCCGAAATGAAACTTCGGTGGAGCTCCCTGTGGGACCAAGGCCACGATCCTCGAGAGGGGTGTGCCGAAATGAAGCATGTGTGGGGCCAGGGCCACGATCCTCGAGAGGGGTGCGCCGAAATCGGGCTTCGGTGCAGCTCCCTGTGGGTCCAGGGCCACGATCCTCGAGAGGGGTGTGCCGGAATGAAACTTCGGTGGAGAGATTCTGGAGAGGGGTGGGGCCAGGGCCGAGATTCTGGAGAGGGGTGTGCCGAAATGAAACTTTGGATGAACTCCCTGTGGTGCCAGGGCCGCGATCCTCGAGAGGTGTGTTCCTAAATGTAGCTTCGGTGGATCTCGCTGTGGGGCCAGGGCCACGATCCTCGAAAGGGGTGTACCGAAATAAAGCTTCGGCGGAGCTCCCTGCGGAGCCATGGCCGCGATCCTCGATAGGGGTGTGCCGAAATGTAGCGTCGGTCCAGCTCCCTGTGGCGCCAGGGCCACGATCCTGAAAAGGGGTGTGCCGAAATGAAGCTTCGGTGGAGCTCCCTGTGGGGCCAAGGCAACGATCCCTGAGAGGGGTGTGCCGAAATGAAGCATCGGTGGGCCAGGGCCACGATCCTCGAGAGGGGTGTGCCGAAATCGGGCTTCGGTGCAGCTCCCTGTGGGTCCAGGGCCACGATCCTCGATAGATGCGTGGTAGAATGAAGCTTCTGAGGAGCTCCCTGTGGCGCCAGGGCCACGATCCTCGAGAGATGTGTGCCGAAATGAAGCTTCGGTGGAGCTCCCTGTTGGGCCAGGGCCGCGATCCTCGAGAGAGGTGTTCCGAAATGTAGCTTCGGTTAAGCTCCCTGTGGGGCCAGGGCCGCGATCCTCGAGAGGGGTGTACCGAAATGAAGCTTGGGACGAGCTCCCTGTGGGGCCAGGGCCAAGATCCTCGAGAGGGTTGTGCCGAAATGAAGCGTCGGTGCAGCTCCCTGTGGGTCCAGGGCCACGATCCTCGAGATGGATGTGCCGAAATGAAGCTTCGGTGGGGTTCCCTGCGAAGCCAAAGCCGCGATCCTCGAGAGGGATGTGCCGAAATGAATCTCCGGTGGAGCGCCCTGTGGGGCCAAAGCAACAATCCCGTGGGGAGGTCCACCGAAATGAAGCTTCGGTGGGCCTCCCTAAGGGATTGTTGCTAATTGCTGATTGCGGGGGGGGGGCCCGGGGCCCCAACCCCCGCTTGTTCCAACAGCGACAACAACAACAACCCCCGTTTGTTCCACCACCACCACCAACAACAACAACAACAACAAGGACACCACCACCACCACCACCACCACCACCACCACCACCACCACCACCACCACCAACAACAACAACAACAACAACAACAACAACAACGGCAACGGAAAACAGCGCGCCGATCTCGAAAACGGAAGAATCCCCCCTTGGCGTTTTGAACACCACCCAAGGCCCTCGCCGAGGGCACGGGCTCCACGCGCGGAGGGCCCCCCGCCGCAAGGCGGGCGGCTCCGCCGCTCAGCGGGCGGCCGCCACGGGCCACGCCCGGCTCGTGCAGAGCCGCGTCCAGGAGGCGACCCCTCTCCTCGGGGGGGGGAGGGAGGGGGGGGGGCTTTCCCCTAGCATGCAGCGAGGCGATCGACAAGCCTCTCCCGCAGCTCACACATCAGCTGGCATTGCGAAACGACTTCTCCTCGGGGGGGGGGCGACGCGAGGGGGATAACATTCACCCTATTTGACTTGGTGTTTTCTGTGAGTGCAACAAGTTTTGTTTTGACCAAGTCAATCTAGACATGAGCAGTCGTACGAGCTGCGGACATATGTACACGCACGCATGCATTCATAAACACATATGCAATCCTCCTCCTCCTCCTCCTCCTCTTCCTCCTCCTCCTCATCCTCATCCTCCTCCTTTTCCTCCTCCGCCGCCGCATCCTCCTCCTCCTCCTCCTCCTCCTCTTCCTCCTCCTCCTCCTCCTGCTCCTCCTCCTCATCATCATCCTCATCCTCATCCTCATTTCCTCCTCCTCCTCCTCCTCCCCTTCCTCCTCCTCCTCCTCCTCCTCCTCCTCCTCCTCCTCTCCTCCTCCTCCTCCTCCTCCTCCTCCTCCTCCTCCTCCTCCTCATCCTCCTCCCTCCTCCTCCTCCTCCTCCTCCGCATCTCCTCCTCCTCCTCCTCCTCCTCCTCCTCTTCCTCCTCCTCTCCTCCTCCTCCTCCTCCGCCTCATCCTCCTCCCTCATCCTCCTCCTCCTCCTCCTCCTCCTCCCCTCTCCTCCTTCTCCTCTCCTCCTCCTCCTCCTCCTCCTCCTCCTCCTCCTCCCCTCCTCCTCCTCCTCCTCCTCCTCCTCCTCCTCCTCCTCCTCCTCCTCCTCCTCCTCCTCCTCCTCCTCTGGACAATGGACACCAAGGAATGCGCTCATCCTGTGGGTCACGAGCCCGTTCAGCCTTTCTGGGCCAACGGGGGACCCTCTTGGGGAGCTTCGGGGCAGTTTTGGAGGCCATCTTGGGCGTCTTGGAGGCCATCTTGGGCGTGTTGGAGGCCTCTTGGGCTTTCTTGGAGCCCTCTTGGGGCCATCCTGGAGGCCACTTGGGGCGTCATGGCGCCCTCTTGGGGGCCTCTTGGGCGATCTTGGGGGCCTCTTGGGCCGTCTGGAGCAGTCTGAATGCCGAGAAGAAACAAATTCCAAAATCCTTCAAAAACCTAAGGAACATCAATGATTTTGGCCTCTTCGGGCCCTCCTGGAGGACCTCTTGGAGGCCTCTTGGGCCGTCTGGGAGGCCTCTGGGGGGCCTCTTGGGCCGTCTTGGGCCGCCTTGGATCTCTTGGGCCGTCTTGGAGGCCGTCTTGGGCCATCTTGGGCGGACTTGGAGGCCATCTTGGACCATCTTGGAGGCCATCTTGGGCCAGCTTGGCCATCTTGGAGGCCATCTTGGAGTGTTCCCCGAATCGGTTTGGAAAGCCTTCGGGGAACACGTGGGCGCCTTGAAGGTCATCGTGGCCGTCTTGGAGGCCTCTTGGGCGATCTTTCGGCGATCTTTGGGGGCTCTTGGGCCGTCTCGGGCCGTCGGAAGGCCGAAAAGAAGGACATCTCAAAATCCGTTAAAAACATACGAATAATCAATGTGTTTGGCCTCTTCTGGCCTTCCTGGAGGCCCTCTTTGGGGCCTCTTGGGCCCTTTTGGGCCAGCTTCGATCCAGCTTCGGCCATCTTGGTGGGTTCCTGGCACGTCTGACGCCGTCGGGAGCAATCTTGGGGGCCTTTCTGGGCCAACGGGGGACCCTCTTGGGGCGCTTCGGAGCCGTTTCGGAGGCCATCTTGGGCGTCTTGGAGGCTAGCTTGGGCGTGTTGGAGGCCTCTTGGGCCGTCTTGGGGCCCTCTTGGGGCCATCTTGGAGGCCACTTGGGCCGTCATGGGGCTCTCTTGGGGGCCTCTTGAGCGATCTTGGGGGCCTCTCGGGCCGTCTGGAGCCGTCGGAATGCAGAGAAGAAACAAATTCCAAAATCTTTCAAACACCTAAGGCAACTCAATGATGTTGGCCTCTTCGGGCCCGCCTGGAAGACCTCTTGGGGGCCTCTTGGGCCGTCTGGGAGGCCTCTGGGGCCGCCTCGTGGGCTGTCTTGGACTCCCTGAGGCCCTCTTGGAGGCCGTCTTGGACCATCTTGGGCGGACTTGGAGGCCATCTTGGACCATCTTGGAGGTCATCATGGCCGTCTTGTGTGGCCGAACGTTGAGGCCAGACCTGCAAAGCCATCGGACCATGTGTTCCCCGAATCGGTTTGAAAAGTCTTCGGGGAACACGCGGGCGTCTCGAAGGATATCTTAGCAGTCTTGGAGGCCTCCTGGGCGATCTTTCGGCGATCTTTGGGGGCTCTTGGGCCGTCTCGGGCCGTCGGAAGGCAGAAAAAAAGGAAACGTCAACACCCGTCAGCAACCTACGGACAATCAATGTTTTTGGCATCGTCTGGCCTCCCTGGGGGCCCTGAGGCAGAACAAAAAACAAAAAAAAACAACAACAAAAAAGAAGAAGCAGAAAAAACAATGAAACAAGCAAACAAAGCAACACAAGCTGAGACTCTCTGCGATTTCCAAATCTACCACCAGAATGCAATTGATGTTCAATTATATTCTGGTCGTGGATTTGAAAAACGCAGAGAGTCTCAGCTGTTTCTCATTGTTTTGCGTTTTCCCTGGTTGTTATGTGTTTGTTTGCGGTTCCTTTGTTGGTTCCCCTGGGCCTCTGGCCCTGGGTAGGCCCAGGAGGATACCAGGGAAACGAAACAAACAAAACCAAGGAAAACGCACAAAAAAGACAAAACCGCAAAACCAACAAAAAAAAGCTGAGACTCTCTGCGTTTTTCATATATGCCCCCAGAGTGAAATTTATGTGAATGAAATTCTGGTCGTGGATTTGAAAAAAAACGCAGAGAGTCTCAGCTTGTTTTGCGTTTTTTTGTTTGGTCACTGTTTTTTTGTTGATTTGTGTTTTTTTTTTAATTGTTCCCTTTGTATTTTCCCTGGGCCTCTGGCCCTGGGTAGGCCCAGGAGGATACCAGGAACAAAAAAAAAGAAAGGAAAAAAACAATCAAAGCAAAAAAAGCTGAGACTCTCTACGTTTTTTTTTTTTTTTTTTTTTTCAAATCTACCACCAGAATGTCATTGAGTCTAATTGTATTATGGTCGTGGGTTTGAAAATCGCAGAGAGTCTCAGCTTGTTTTGTTTTTTTTCTTGGTTCCATTGTTTTTCTGTATTGTTTTTGCGTTTTTTCCCTGGTATCCTCCTGGGCCTCTGGCCCTGGGTAGGCCCAGGAGGATACCAGGGGAAAAACAAGCAAAAAAGCAAAAAACAAAAAAACAAAAAAAACATGGAAACAACAAGAAACAAAAAAAAGCTGAGACTCTCTGCGATTTTCAAATCCACGACCAGAATACAATTCAAATCAATTACATTATGGTGGTAGATTTGAAAAAACGCAGAGGGTCTCAGTCGTTGTTGCTTGTTTTGGTTATGTTTCCCATGTTTTTTGTTGTGTTTTGCTTTGTTCCCCTGGTATCCTCCTGGGCCTCTGGCCCTGGGTAGGCCCAGGAGAATACCAGGGAAACGAAGCAAACACAACCAAAAACAAGGAAAAAACAAAACAAGCAAAGAACACTGAGACCCTCTGCGTTTTTCAAATCTACCACCAGAATGTACTTGATGTTAAATGTATTCTGGTGGTGGATTTGAAAATCGCAGAGAGTCTCAGCTTTTGTTCCGTTGTTTGTGTTTTCCCTGGTTTTTCTGTTTTGTTTTTGCTTTGTTCACTGTTATCTTCCTGGGCCTCTGGCCCTGGGTAGGCCCAGGAGGATACCAGGGAAAAAAGCAAAAAAAAAAAAAAAAAAAAAAAAAAAAAAAAAAAAAAAAAAAAAAAAAAAAAAAAAAAAAAAAAAAAAAAAAAAAAAAAAAACGGTGGGGTGTGGGGGGGGGGGGGGGGGGGGGAACTAACAAAAAACATGGAAAACAAAAAAACTGAGACCCTCTGCGATTTTCAAATCCACGACAAGAATACAAGTACATTCTGGTGGTAGATTTGAAAAACGCAGAGATGCTCAGCTTGTTTTGATTTTTCTGCTTCTTCATGTTGTTTTAATGTTTTTTTGCTTTTTTCCATGGTATCATCATGGGCCTCTGGCTCTGGGTAGGCCCAGGAGGATACTTTTTGTTTTGGTCACCGTTGACCGACCAGTTATGGCAGCGCGACAGTTCACACCGCCCTGCTCGCTGCCTCTCGCGCCGCTATGCGGGCACGAATGGCGTCAAGGCAGGGCAGAAGAGTAGCAGAGGCCGCCGCTTCGCCTCGGCGCGCCATCTGCAAGGCAACGTCCGCCTCCTGCCTCGCAGCCTGTTCTTCAGGTTCAGCGCAGGAGACAGGCGCGCTGCGCAAAGGGTGAAGTCCTCTGCGCAGCCGAGACAACACTTGGCCCCCGCTTCGGATGCTACCTGGCTGGCAGCGGGTGGCCAAACTGCGAATCTTGTGCTGGGAGTACGCGCCACAGGTCAGGCAGACAAACAGAAGGTTGGGCTCCTCTCCAACCTGGGTACTCGCCAGCTTGTGTCCATGATCGGGAGCCGAGACGAGGAGCTCGGCCACTCTCTCAGGGAAGCCTTCGCAACCGAGCTCGGGCCGCTCATGCTGCCGTCCTCCGAAGAAGACCAGGCACTTAGTACAACGAAATCCCCAGAGGCTTCGCTGCCATGCATGCCACGACGTGGCCTTGTCGAAAACCTTCGTGGGTCTCCCACGTCGAGGCGGCCGCTGGTGAGACGCACGCGGAAACAGCGGCAGCGCGCTCGCCATCAGCCGTGCGCACTCGCGCATCTGGTCGATGGTCCTATCAACTTGATAAACTTCGGCCTCCGAAGGCCGTGCATTGAGCTCGATGGCCCTCTTGGCCTCTAGATATGCTCGCCAGTTGGCCTGGCCAATCCTGCGCTCTGGTAGCGCCAGCTCGTCTATCACTTCCAGCTTGCGGCGCGCAGGCGTGTGAGCAGCGGGGGCAAACTTATTTTCGCACATGTGGGCCAGGGCGCCTCGCCTGAGACCTCCATGCCTTTGCTTCGGGGAGGTTTGCTCGCTGGGTCCCTTGTTGTGGAGTCTGACCGCATCCATACAATCGCTGAAACACTGAGAGGACAGCCTCGGCACGAAAATGGGCAACAGGGCTAGCTGCAACTGCTCCGCGGCCTGGCTAGTCTGGGGCAAGGAGGGCCACACCACCCCACGCGCGACGTACTTCTGGTGGCCTTCATCAAAGAAGACCCAAGAGTAGGCAGCTCTGGACAACTCCGAGATACAGTGTGGCATGCATGATCCATCCCCCGCCTGGTAGAGCCCCGTGCAGTCAAACCTCGCCCACTCCACCTCCTGCCCCTCCTCATTATACAAGACAGGCTCATGTTCATCATTAAGACTGGGCCAGCTATCGATCGGATGCAGCATCTTAAGGCCGTCGTGTAGCGCATCGCCACTGCCGAGAGCTTCGCGACAGAAGTCAGCCGAGACCTCCGCCTCCTCTCGCGCAGCCACTACGTCCTGGTGCTGACGCTGGTAGAGCCGATGCCTGACCGAGTCAGGTCTCAGACAAAGCGGGCACAGTCCTAAACAGAGGTACCCAGAACTACGGGCCCGATCCTCAGTCCACAGACCTTCACACAAGGCAGTCTTAACCAAGTACTTCCCCTGGGCACTTAAACCAATCCCTTTGGCCCGAGGGTTCACGATCCGACGCAAGGGCCCAACGCGAACCCTAGCCCCCGAGGGCCACCCGAGTTTTTCAGCCAAAACTCTCTCATGGTGTCTCTGGACACCTCGTTCTGACAAGAAACGCACCATGGAGGGGGTGGTGTACAATAAACTGTGCTCGATGCCCTTATCATCAATCCAAAGCAGGGGGTTCACCGCAATCCACCCGATCCTACACAGAGACAGGTGCATCCTACTGACCGGACAACGCGATTTAGCCCAAGTGAGTCCTTCCCGCTTGACCTCCCTCCACATCGCGCACAGGTCCTTGACCGAACACTGAGCTTGGCTGGGCCTTGTGAAGCGCTCCACACCGCCTGGGCCCACGCTATGGCTGGTGCTACCATGCTCCTCCACAGCGGGTCACCAACAAGGGCGACCTTGGCACGCATAGAAACCCCAGCATGCCTTGGGGCCTGAAAAGACAGCAAACCACGTCTCGCACGCCTGAGTTCGGCATCAGTCATGCCCACAATGGTGTCCCCAAACGTGAGAGCTGGCTTGACACCAGCCGTATAAAGTTTACCGATGCGGCCCCGATCCCTTGGCAAAGCCCGCTGAAAACGCTTCAAAACCCGATGTCGCTTAACCATGTCCTGAAAACGCTTACGCCTCCTGGAGAGATGTCCCTTCCTGCTACGCTTGCCACCAGGGGCCAAATCGCATCCCAAGGACACCACATGCGTACCCACAGTCCCCGCCAGGATTCCGAGCCGAATCCCAAGGCGACGAGCAGCGTCAGGGTCCGAGGCAAACGTCATCAACTTATCAGGAGCCAGATTCACCCCGAGCTCCTGGATGAACACACTGTGCAAATCCGACGCCGCCGAAGCTAGAGACTCGATGACGGCCTCCTTCGCGCCACAACAACTGAGTGTGTCATCGTCAATGTAAGAGGACAGGTCCACGCTAGGGTTCCGCCTCGCGAAACCATCGAACGGCTTCATGGCATACACACGCACAAAAAAATATCGTTGAAGCACGACCCAGCAGGTAGCCCGCTGGTAGCATACTGCACCGCGAGGCTGTGGTCAGAGCCTAACCTTAAGATCCTAGGGCCTCGCCAAAAATTGAAAACCATCTTGATGATCACTGGTTCGAGCCCGACCTCCAGGCTGCGCTCCTTGAGTTTCTGGAGGTCAAAGCTCTCATGCATCTTAGTGCCATCCCAAGAGAACCCCGCCGTGACTCCACCGCCTTCCACCTGGGCTTCCGCCTTGACGGCCTGGCCCCACACATAAGCTTCCGCCGACTTCCCCGCGCCGAAGGCCCAGTACCTCCTGGGGTGAGTGTCGTTGAGCGGGGTGAGGCGGGGTCGCCTTAACCTTTCCCACAAACGCGCAGGGGCAGCGCCGAGCAAGATCGGACGAAGACCACCCTTGGGTTTCTCGAGTAAGGGAAACAGCTTCCAGTACAGGGCCCGAGGTGACAATCCCAGCTTCTCCGGCGCTTGAAACAGGCAGGCCAGGGTGTTCAACCCTTCGTCGCAGGGGAAAGCAACATGCCGCACGTGCACCCCATCCAGGGACTGAGCTGCGTGCGGCGAGAAGCTCTTGGCCGCCGAACGAATAGCCTCAGGGCTGAGGCGGTCGAGGCAGCGCCCGTCAGGCACCTCGACGGGGGACGGGGAAGAGGACGCATGCCAGAAGGTCCCGAGAATACCAGCCTCCTTGGCCAGCAAAACACGCGGGTCCGACGTAAAAGCCCCAGGAGATTTCTCGGTCACCGTGGGCCCCCATTTAACCTTGAGACGGGTGAGGCGGTGCATCTTGCGCGCTGATCCCTGCAAGGCTTCAGCTTGCCATTGGTCTCACCCCTTCTTTTCCTTCCCGTCTAAGCCTTCCCGAGCCTCCAAGAAGTCCTCCTCCCAACCAACCAGAAGCTCGGGTGCAAGGAGCGCGGCCACGCGGCCATCTCCTGACGGGCCTTGGCAACGGTAACATCGAGCCTAGCCGAGAGACCTTCGGCATCAAAAGGTTGCGCAACAATATCAACGATGCTGCGCGCCGCTTGGACCTCTGACTGATCTACTAAAGTATTCATCTGGACCACCAACCTCTGGCTAGCGTTGAGAAGGTCCTTAGTGCACTGCTGCAGCCAGACCCAACTAACCCAGACACGGACGTCATCTTCCTCCTTTTCTCTTGGGGGGGCATCATGACCGAGGCCCACTGGGGAACCTAAGGGAGCCCTTTCTTTCCCTTCTTACGCACAGGGGTATCTAACTTACTCTCAAGCTCCAGCTCCATGGCATCCGAGAAAGCTTCCCAAGCGACGTCCAGCGCAGCCCAAGCAGTGCCCACCGCTTGGCCACTGGCGACGAGGTTGGCTTTCTCAGCCTGTCCGCGCGCCTCCGACCAATCAGCATTACGATTGCTTGGTCCCAACGGGAGCTCAGTGGGGAGCCTCTGGTGGCTAGTGTACACCAACTGGTGCAACTTGACAGCCCCAGGCCTGATGTGCAGTTGAACTGGGCGGTGGGGCCTCTTGACCCATGCACTGTCGACCTCGACGGTCTGCGCCAGCTTGCTGAAGGCCGTGGACGCGAGGAAAACATCAATCTTGGTATTAGCCTACGGTGTCACGCACGTGGTGGACTCGGGCTGCATGATCAGCAACCCCGCGCGCCGCGGCATACCAGGCATCTCCAAACATGCTGAGCTGAAGTTCCAATCAGCCCCCATCAGTGCAAGGTGCGCCCCTTCCATGATCTGGCCTGCCATACGTATGATATGCAAGTTGCGTGGACTTAGGCCTTCACCTGTGTAAAGATACGCACTACCAACCAATAGAGGGGGCCACTTGGGAATATCGACCATGGCGAAGACTAGCCTGTGCTCTACTGCAATGCCTCGAGGCAAAAAGTCTGGCCACCTTAGCCCAACAGCCACTCTGGCGGAGATGGCGACTCCAGCGGAAGTCTGTCCCTGAGCACATGCCACGGCAGGTGAGCACAACAGGTTCCATCTCATAGCCTTGGCTGAACTCGCTCGCTCCCCCAATCGATCTCCATCAAAACCAATTTCCTGCGCGCGCAACACGAGGGCCTGGGTCGACGCTAACCTCTTCTTAAGTGCGCCCCAGCTGTTCCCATTATAACTTTCAAAAACATGAGACGAATCAGTGTCTTTGACGCGGGGGGCGGCTCGTGGCGGACAACCTACCCCATGCTTACACATCTTAAACCCGTGAATCTCGGCGCGAAGTCACATACTACCCCACTCGAGCACAATCCACTGGGGTCGTGGAAGCCGTCGTCAGACGGGGGACAGGGAGCTGGCGGCAGAGGCACATCATCTGACTTCTGCTCCATGCGCAGGTCATCTGACTGCTGCTCACAAAGCCGCTGAAGAAGAAACCAGAGGGCCTGCATCACTCGATAATCAAACTGCACAAGCCAGAGCCGCGAAAAGCAGCAATCGAACAAGAAGATACCTACGTCGTCGATGCACGAACTCCTCCGCTTCTTGATACCCTCAGCCCAATCCTTGGCGTCAAAGCTGCGACGTCTTGGGACGTTTTGCTCTGGCACCCATGATCGCCTCCAGGATAGCCCTCTTGCCACCCTTGTGCTTCTCCCAGAAATCATCCGCCGCCTGCTCATCAACGAACATGTCGTCGAGCTCGTCGTCGTCCGCTGGCACAGGCTGGTCCACGTGTGCACCAGGCGCTGCCTCAGGCGGTGCCACAGGTGTCCCAGGCCGCTGAGCACCCGATGTGACATGTAGGCGAAAAAGCTTGGCGAACTCCTTGAACGGCTCGGAGTCCACCATCGCCTTGATCTCCGCGTTGCCCTCCAGGAGCTCCTTCGGGACACCGAAGGTGTCGTCCGCCGTCGACTCGCCGAGTGGCAAGGTGGTAACCAACTGTCGTTGGAGCTCAGCGCACTCCTTCTGTATAGTGTCGCGCTTCTGCACCAACTCACTCCTCTCCTTTTGCATATCGTCCAGCCTCTTAGTGATGTCTGTGACCTCAGACTCCACCTTGGCCAGACGGGCCTTACATCTGTTGAGCCTGTGCCCCACGTTGTTGTGCTGCGTGAGGTCTGGCTTTCGAGCCTCGATCTGCGCCCTGACTCCTCGGAGGGTCTCCTCCAGGATAGCCTTGGCCGCCGATGCAGACTCACTCTTGCACGCTGCGATGGCCAACTCCAGCTGAGTAGCCTCAGCGCGCAGCGGATCCTCCATCTCCTTGTCATCCTTGGCAGCAGCCGCAGGTCCACCGCCTCCCCCACCTTGTTGGGCCGAGGCCTTGGCACCTCCAGCGACGAACTGCTCCACCCGCTTGGTGAGCTCCTGGACTTGTCTCTCAAGCCTCTGCTCACGCTTCGAGCCCACGGCAGGGGGGCGGGCGCCGCCACCGATGCCGCGAGGAGCACCGCGAGCGCCAGGATCCTGCTGCACCCGCTTGAGCACCGCCTGCGGGGCGCTGGCGCCACAGCGGCAGCGCAGCCGGCACGCCCAGTTCGACGTGAGCCCGCACTGCTGGCAGCCCCAGAAAGGCCTCTTGGGCCCCTGGACCACCGCACCATCCATGGATGCCTCACGGCGGAGGTCTTAGAAGACTGCGGGGTTTGAGCTACCCCAAAACTGCACAAGCCAAAAAGGCACGCGACAGCGACTGCCGCTCTGAAGACTGCTGTCGCAAGCTCAGACCCTGAGCCAGAACGGCTCTTGAGCCAAAATGGCTACGGAGGCCCAGGAGGATACCAGGGAACAAAAACAAAAAAAACAGAAAAACAATGGAAAGAGCAGAAAAAAACAAAACAAACTGAGACTCTCTGCGTTTTCCAAATCTACCACCAGAATGTAATTGATTTTAATTGTAATCTGGTCGTGGATTTGAAAATCTCAGAGAGTCTCAGCTTTTTTTGTTGTTGTTTTTTTCCATGGTGTTTGTGTTTTTTTGCTCTTTTCCCTGGTATCCTCCTCGACCTCTGGCCTTGGGTTTCAAATGGAATTCCTTCTGGGAGGATTACAAATTTGATCGACTTGTAATCCGCCAAAAAATCCAATTTGTGGAGATTCAAAAAAGATAAAGAGAAAGAGAGAGAGAAAGAGAGACACAAAAAAGAGAGAGAGAGAGAGAAAAAGAGAGAAACGGAAAACAGAAAAAAAGACGGAGACAGAGAAAGAAACGCAAACAAGCAAGAACGACCCCAAGTCAAATAGGGTGAATTTTCTCCCTTTCGGGGCGACGCTCCCACTGCGCTCGCTGCGTCCGCCCAGGCCGAGACCAGCGGCGTGCAGCAGATTTCGCACCCGGGGAGTTCCCTCCCCCCTCTGCCTATCACCCCCCCCCCCTTATCGCCTGGCCCGATCTGCTCTGCGGCCGCGCGCGAGGCAACGCGCTGTCAGAGGGCGGCCGCTGGCGGCAACGCGCCGGGCACCGCCGAGTCGGGCGTTGGACGGAGGCACGGAGCATCGTCTTCCAGCTCCCGAGGTCGTGATGTTTTCGCAGCGTGGGCCCCCAGAGGTCTGGACCGTTTTCCGGACGAGCGGTGTTCTTGACCCCTGGGTGCTTTGTGGACGGCCCTGGGGCCAGGTCCGGGACCACAGAGGCCGTCCGTCGCGTTATGTTCACGACGAGAACATCGTTGGGGGAGGTCGCCCACGTACTCTCGGCGGGACCCTCTCGGGCGTAGGGCAGGCGGCCGAAGCCCCGCAGAAATGATGGCGAGGCACAAAGCGGGGCTGAGAGGGAGCGACGGCGGCACGGCAGCGGCAGCGGCACCGTCAGCTGAAACTCCTCCTCCCCCCTGTTCCTGCTCCTACTTCTTCCTCTCCTCCTCCTCCCTCTCCTCCTTTTCCTCCTCCGCATCCTCCTCCTTTTCCGTTTCCTTCTCCTCCTCCTCCTCCTCCTCCTTCTCCTCCTCCTCAGACATCCTGGCGTTGTGAAGAAATCACGACAGAAGGCTCTTCCTTATTATTAGCATTCGCGGGACGTCACCTGGCCCTAAAACCCCGTCAACAACAACTCTCGAAAGGAAATGCGCTGGTCCCTGGGACAAAAATCTAGATTCTAGACCCCTCGGACCCCCGTCGGGAGCCTGGGTTCCCCCCCCCCCTGTCGCCCACCCTTCTCGAGGTGTGCTGGTAAGTGTCCCTGGCCCAGGTGTCCCTAGATTTTCGGTACGGTTTGAAGGGGTGCTCTGGAGGCCACGGGGGCCTCCTTGGAAATCCTGGGGGCACTTTTCGGGGAGACGGAAGACTCGGGCTCGGGGGACTGGTCAAAAAGCGTCTGCAAACCCGAGTTCCGGCGTGCTCGAGTCTGACGCTTCCCCGAACCTTTCGGGCCAGGCACATCTCCGGCACCCCCTCCCCCTGCCGTGCCGCCCGCAGACTTGGCAGGGCCCTGGCCGCTCTGGGGCCCCCGGATTCCTGCTCGTGAGGCCGCCTGGCATGAGACGAAGCCACCGATCGGGGCAGGACCAGACCGGGACAACTCGCGAATCTCTGAGATCCTATAGGCACTCCAATTTCGCGCGTCGCGCCTCGCCATGCGCAGCGCTCGATTATCTCTGCGCTCTCGCGCCGCCCCCCTGGAGAAGGGCGCCTCTCCAGTTGAAGCCGCGATAAGCAAAGCGAGATTTTGCGGTTCAGGAGGACCTGTGTTGGGCATCATCCCCTCCTCCCCCTCCTCCCGCCAAAGGCCGTCCTCCCCGCACCCCTCCTCCCCCGCCTCGGGGGGAAGGGTCGATCTTACGTGCAGCCGTTCCCTTCACTCCCGCGTCGTGAGGAGGGCCCGCGGCCGCACTGGAGGCCCCTCGATGCCCCTGGCAAGAAGCCCGTGGGAGCCCCAACTCATCCCACAGGTGCCCCAGAAGCCACGAGCCCAGATCTTCCCCACCGTGGAAACCGCATCGACTTGCAACAGTTGCAAGAGTTGCAAGGCGGTCGCAGCCCACTTGCAGTGTAGGGCGCGTGCAAATTGATTGCAAGTCCGCCTTAGTGCCTGGAGTCTGAGTCGGTCAGTCGCGGACCCATCTTGGAGCGGCTAGGCGGACTTCCAACTCATCTGCAAGTGCCTTGCAACTGGGTCGTAACCACCGTGCAACTGTTGCAGGTCGACCCGATCACTACAGCAACCCCTTCCAGACCTCTGGCACCGGGAATTTCGGAACAACGTGGGCCCCCGAGGGTCTGGACCCCCTCCGTGGGGAGAGCTTTTCAGCCCCGAACCAGGGGCATCGTTAGGGATGGGCGTCGGCTCAGGTGGGGACGCGTCGACCCAAAATCGCCCACTGGTCGCCGAGAAGGGCCTGACAACCCACCCCGCCAAGGAACGTACGGTTTCGCGTTCGGAAGCCCATCGTCGATCTATCGGCGATGGACCGCCGATATAAGAGGGGAGGAAGGAAGGAGGGATCGAGGGAGGAGGAGGAGGACCAATGTAAACCCAAGACTCGTCAACGATGTTGAAACACACCCTCCCTCCAAGATCCCTCTTCATAGGCCCCTACAATAAGTCATTTCCACTGAGGAGATTGCCCAGTTGGGGGACAACCGTGTGAACATCTGGAGGTGTACCAGAACACTTTGCCCATGACTTCAACGCCATGAATTAATCTGACTGGTACGTGCCAGAACACCATTCCTGGGACTTCAGCACCGCGAATCAACGCAACTGTTGCGCCCTGACAAACCTGAACCGCTCCAAAAATACATCTCCTGCACGAGAAACATGAACACCAACGACACTCTTGCAACAATTGAAAACGAATGTGCGCGGCGTTGAGGCGAGAACCACACTTTTTGAACTTGAAATCCACCAGCCCTCAATCCGTGAAGCTCTTGCAAATTACGCGGCGCTGCGGCGACAACCACACTTTGAAAAAAACACTCGCCACCAATCCGTGAACCTTTGACAACGTGTTTGAACGACTGTGCGCGGCGCTACGGCGATAACTACATGTTAACAACCACACGCCTCCACTCCGCGAAACTCTTGCATTTGTTAAACGAATGTGCTCGGCGCTCAAGCGAGAACCACATTTGGAAAACGAATCGCCCTCAATACGTGAAACTCCTGCAAAAGTTTTAAATGAGCGCCTGCAGCACTCGGGCGATAACCACATTTTTAAAAGCACCCGCCCTCACTCCGCGAACTTCTTCCCATTCTTTAGAACGGCTCTGCGCGGCGCGAAGGCGAGAACCACATATTAAAAAGCCCAATCCGTTAAACTTGTGTGCGCCGTTGGAAGCCACCCGCCCTCAATCCGTGAAGCTCTTGCCTTTCTTTCCGAACGAATTTGCACGGTGCTCAGGCGAGAGCCACATTTTGAAAACCACCCGCCCTCCATCTGCAAAACGGTTGTCGATGTTTAAGCATCAGGGTCATAAACCGGTGAGGATGTCTCAAACGAAACGCCTGGCCCGCCCTTTCGACCGGCCCCGGGGCGAGAGGGAGGAATTATTTATGAGGAAGAGAAATGGGGGGAGGAGGAGAGTGGGGAACCCGGTCCGCCCCGTCCCATCGTTGCCCCTCCCCGAGCTGTTCCCTGACGGCCTAGGGGGGCCCGGCGCGGCCCCCTCCCGAGGGGAAGCCTGGAGCACCGCCCGCCGCGAAGTCTCGGCCCACGGCGCGAGGAGGCCCGAGCCCCTCCCGTTTGTTGTTGTGGGCGAGGAGGAGCGGACACGACCATGCCAAAGTCCCATCATGAAGCATGCCTGCTGAGATCACTACGGCTGTCTAACAGGCACGGCCGCCATGGCTAAAAACTGGTCCCACCACGCAGCCCCTCGCGGGGGGAGTCCGAGGCGAGAACATGCGTGGGGGCCTTGGATCGGGAACCATTGGACCAATAGTTCAGGGTCGGGAGGTTGGTGCAAGTCCAATCGTCGATCGGCCATGGATATCACCGCCGCCACCATCAGAAAGGGACTCCTCCAGAGTCTGAAGCCTCCTGTGCAATCTCCTCGACGAACGCCCCAACGATATCCCCAACTGTAATAATAATGGCACCTGGCGGCATAATAACATAAACATCTTTACACAATTGCGCAATCGGGGGCCTTGATGGGCCATCGAGAAGTTAGGCACATTGTACATGAAGTTAGCCACATACAGGCTGATCAGGATAACGTGTGCGCAAACATCGACTTGCGTAGGCCCGCCCATAAGCCCTTTCCAAACCTGAGGGCCCCAAACCTGACGGTCCCATCCTCGAACCACCGATTCTCGCTCGAACGTTCGGACATCCGAAGCTGTCTGCTTAATGTGCGCGCGGGCATGAATTCTCGACGTCCGCGCTTTTCGCGGGGGCGAGAGCGGGGAACATCAGGTTTTGGGGCCACGGGCCCGAGACCAGGCCGAAACCAGCGCCCTCCCCCAAAACGCCGACCGCTCACTCTCAATATGATTCAAACCGACGAAAAGTCAACATGTGATTGAAGGCCTGGACATGGGTAACAACACCAACACAGGGATGTACCTCCTCCAGGGTACGAGAAGCTTACATATGGGTGCTGGTGGTAATCTGTCGGCCCTCTACGACTCCACGAAGCCCGAACCTTACCACGATCACCGAGTCGGGATCATCTTCCCTCGGTGGAGGCAGCCGCCGATGTTGGTGTTGCAACTCTTGGCCTCCGAATTTAATGTCTGGTAAGGCTGTAGGTAGCGCACAGACAACCGCACCAGGTAATCCCAGCTGGCCTCAACAGGCCCCTCGGGCTTTCCAGGGCGGTCTCACCACCTGAAGCCTGCGCGGGGAGCGTCCCTGGGGATGTTGGGGCCAGCTGGGACTACCTGGGAGGGGTGTCTGTGCCCAGCCCGAAGCCGTATCCTCCGAAATTGCGTCGTTGCCCTGTCTTTTTCAAAACAAGGCCGAGACGAGGACGAACCACGCTCCTCCACGAGGAGCACGCCGCCGACTGGGGGCGCCCGGGCGGCGCCTTTGTGGCGGCGCGGAACGCGCTGGTGGGCTCGGAGGCTGTGCAACACGGCTCCTCGGGCGGTGGGAGGCCCGCACAGCAGACACATACGATAAGAGATCTTGCCATGAAATATGTGAGCCAACGCGAACCCCAAACAGGAAACGATAGCTCCGTGGAGGTGCCATCTCTGCTGTGCAAGCTGCGGGCGCATTGTTTTTCGCAATGAATTTTCAACTCCACTGCTCGCGCCCGCCCGCAACTTGGTTTGCAAAACCCATGCGGCGGCGATTCCGATGAGTGCTTGGTGTTGGCTGGTTCATGTGTGCGGCCGCGCTAGCCCGCGCATGCTCGCGCGCGCAGTGGCCAGCTAGTTTGGCGCGACTGACGCGGCCGCGGTGGCGCTTACCGCCGGGCACTTCCCAGTGGGCATTTCAGTGCGATTCGGTGGCTTGGGCGGGCCCGGTATCACGGCGACGTCGACAACGGTAGACGCGATGATTCTAGTAGCGGTGATGGTGACGATGGTGGCGATGATAACGGCAAGGCCAATGACGGCGCCGAGAAGACGATGTTTTCGCGCAGGGGATGGAGGTTTTGGAAGGAGTTCGACATGCGCGCGCCCGGCCGAGGCGCGCGACTGGCCCGCATAGTTTTATTTGACACGGACCGCGCCCCCCCAGCACGCGCGCAAGGGGGGGTCAAATGATTTCGACATGCGGCGCGAGAGGGCCTGTTGGTCGAGTGTGATGGACATGCGGCAACACCCTTGGTGTTCTGAAGTGTTTGCAAGAGCGCGCGCATGTTTTTTTGGTGGGGGAATACACATGTTGCAAGCTCGTGTGTTCCATGTGTTCGGCGTACTCGATGTTGATACTCTTACGAAACACGTGGTTGTTTGAGATATTTCGGCGCGCGCGGGACGACGCGCGCGTGTGCGTTTCGTCCCATCAGTTGCAAAGAAGTCTTGCGATAGCACGCGCGCGAGGTCGATCGATTTCGGCATGCGCCCGCGAGAAGCCCGCTTGTTATAATTCGATGGGGATGTTGACACAAGAGCACGCGCATGCTTTTTGACAAGTATTGCGAAACCATATTTGAAACCCAAGGTCTTTGATAGATTTCGGCATGCGCGCGCGACGTCGCGCGCGTGGGCACATCGCCCCGTTTTCTCTCTTGCACGGAGGTCGATGGTGTCCTGCCGAGGATGCTATGAATTCATACTTCGGACGGACGATGGGCCAGAATCGTATGCAAAAAGCAAGACGACAAGGTGAGCGTCAAGTACGGGGGTGGGAGGTCGATTCTGATACTCTGAGCAAGTCGAAGGCACGAGGTACATGCTAGAGGAAGCCGCGGGGCGACCACTGGCGGCAACGTGGCGAAACCTCGCCAGACCCACCCAACGCACGAGGCGGCCACGAGGCGGACACGGGCGGCAACGGGGCGAATCCCATCGTCGGACACACCCAGCGCACGAGGTGCCGACGAATCGGCAAGGCAACGTGGCGAAGCCTCGCAAGACCTGTCCACTTCCTTAGCAAGAGAAACCAGAACCCCTAAGTGCAAACACTGTCTGGATAATATTGGGTCACATGCTTCGTCGATCTTCGAAGTTCCTGAAGTGTTCCAGCACTTCTGCGGGTCCCTGGGGCCTTCGGGGGGTAAGAAATGTCCGCGGGCATTTTCTTGGCAGTCGATTTCTGTGCCTCCAGGCGCCGTGGAGAAAAGATCGTGCACGACGGAGGCTATTTCGAGCCATGCTCGGCCTCGGGGCGTCGGGGCAGATACGACGCCCGCCTCGAGCGGGCACGCACGGGATGCACTTCCTCCTCCTCCTGGTCCTCCTCCTCCTCCTCCTTTTCCTCCTCCTCCTCCTCCTGCTCCTCTCCTCCTTCTCCTCCTCCTCCTCCTCCTCCTCCTCCTCCTCCTCCTCCTCCTCCTCCTCCTCCCGCAGAGGCGTCCCGGGAGCGGGCCCCGAGTCAAAACACCACCCCCCTAGGGCGCATTTTCCTCGAGCGGGCACGCCCGAGATGCACTTCTTCCTCTTCCGGGAGCACGTCCCAAGTCAGAATATCACACTCCCGGGGCGCACTTTCTTCGAGCGGGCACACAAAGGATGCACCTTCCTCCTCCTCCTCCTCCTCCTCCTCCTCCTCCTCTTCCTCCTCCTCCTCCTCCTCCTCCCCCTCCTCCTCCTCCTCCTCCTCCTCCTCCTGCTCCTGCTCCTCCTCCTTCTCCTCCTCCTCCTCCTCATCATCATCATCATCATCATCCGCTTCCTCCCGTCACTCCTAGCCCTTTCGATCAGGGTCGGCGGCACCGGCCGTCAGGCCTCTCCAATAAAGGCCGAACGCAAAGACACACATTGTTCCTCCAGCAGCGGGGTGGCTGCACCGTCGCGAGCGAGAGGCCGGACATGCTTAGGCGAATTGCCACCTGACGTGAAACATGGGTGGATTGGATGGGGACAGCCGCACGCAAGTAAAGAAAGACATACACACACAACACACACACACACACACACACACACACACACACACACGCGCGCGCGCGCGTACACATACACACACACACACACACACACATTTTTGCGTCGGCAACTCGGCAGAGTAAATGCGCTGGCGGATGAGCTAACTAAACGGGGGCACCGTTGTCGCGAGTTGCGCCACCATGCAGGAAAGGGGGGAAGAAGGAAGGGCGGGCGGCCGAAGGGAGGGGGGGGGAAACGGGGCGAGGGCCGCTCAGGGGGACGGGTCACGTCCGAAGTGGGTGGCGCGGCCAGCTCCTCCGGCAGGGACTGGTTCGGCTGCTGCGCTGGAGTTCCAGCGGCAGCGGGGCCCAGTGCGGGTACCAGAACGAGTTCAGCGAGTCAAGTGTACGATACACGCAGGGGCCTGAAGCACCAGGCGGTGGCGGCGCGTTCCCCAGGTGGGCGCGCGGAAGGGGCGGCGAAAAGGCACCGCCAAGGTGGGGGGGGTGGTAGCAAAATGCTGGGTCGGCGGAGGGTGGCGGGCGGCAAACAAACACACACACAGACATTCAGACACACACACACACACAAACTCATTCACACAGACACATATACAGTGGCTGCAGCCGCTGGGGATGGGAGGAGGCGAGATAAAGAAGAGGAAGGGGGAGTGGAGGAGGAGGGCGTACAGTGTACAATGCTGTTGTCTGAAGTCGTGGTGAATGCCACGGTCATTTTAGAAGGCGAGCGCGCGCATTTACGTAAGCAGTCATTGTTGTAGTCGTGGTGGGTACTCGTAGCACCAGGAGCAGGAACAGGGACAGTTGTAGCGGTTGTACGCCTGTCAAGCAGAGCAATAGTGTTGCCCCGTTTGATGGGGCTCGGCCTCTCTCCTTGCTCACGTGTAAGCGTGTGGCAGGCCCACCAACCCTTTGGGCAAAGGTGGTCTAGCGAGTCCATTACTTCCTCTTCCCAAAACGCACTTCCCTTCGGGGAGAGGTACCCTCTCCCTCCCCTCCCAAGGGTTTTTTTGTCGGGGTTCGCGATCGGTCTCGGGGGTTCGCGATCGGTCAAGGCGCCCAAGATGGTTCCAAGAGGGCCTCCGATGCTGCAGGATAGCCTGCAGGGCGGCTCAAGATAGCCGAAGATGGTTCAAGATAGCTTCCAGCATGCCTCCAAGAGGCCCGACGAGGGCCACAAGACGCATACGAATGCTCTCGGAACCCCTTCTGGCCCCTTCTGGACTCCCCCAAGAAGCCAAAATCATTCACAAACCGACGGAAAGCCAGTGATACCTGCCTTCTCGCATTTTCGTTTCCGATTCGCTTTTGAAGCCTCAGTGGTCCCAAAGAGGCCCAAGAGAGTCCCAAGATGGACCCCAGGGGCCCCCAAGACGGCCCCAAGAGCGCCAAGCTGGTCAATGGAGCGCGGAGGACTGCAACTTGGGCAGACAGAAAAGAGGCATCCACATCCGAAACGCAAGAGCGCTGCTGCGGCTCCAAGAGCGGTCACGGGATTCGACGTTGCTCGACGTTGCACAGGTGGCTCACGCGCGTGGTCGTGACGTGGGACTCTCCAGGGCACTGCTGCCGGAGGCAATGAATACGGGCTCCCAGCTGATATCGGTCACACCGTTCGCAACACATGCCCTTGCCGTCAAGAGTCTCGACAAGGCCCAGGGCAGTGAAAAGCTCGAGACATTCGCCGACGGTGCCCTTCACCTCGGCAGCCTCAGGGGGCTCGCCTCGAGTCCGAAGACTGCAATCAAGCAAGGCTGGTCGAAATACCGGCACGCATGCCGCTAGTCCACGACAGGAGGACGGCATAACTGCTCAGAACCACAGAGCGAGCTCGTGAAACACTTGCCCGTGCGCGCCCCTGCGCCGCACCGCCGGTAGCACCACCCAGGCCTGGGCAAGCACAGCCGACATCATGGTGTAGGGGCGATATCGCACGCTGGCGCCCGGGGCGTGGAAGATCGACCGACACCCCATCCCGACGACCGAAGAGAAGCAGGAGGAGCACTGCTCCACAAACCTCTCCCAGGGCGCCTGCTGACCAAGACTTCGATGCAAGTCCAGCTGTGGCAGCGCGGGAAAAGGTAGCGGAAGCAGTATCGGTATCTGTCCCACTTTCGAGACGAGGGGGACAAGCACGACGAAGACGAGGACGAGCAGAGGACGACACATAGGTCGACGCTGACGCTGGCCACGGCGACGCCGAGAACCGCGAGCGGCCCCGTGGTCCTCGGGCTCCAGAACATGCGGCACCAGCGAGGCCAGGATGCCGTTCGACTCTAGGGCACAGTCCTTTGCCCCCTCTTCCTCGTCCTCCTCGTCCTCCTCCTCCTCCTCCGCCTCCTCCTCCTCCTCCTCCTCCTCCTCCCTCTTCTCCTAATCATCCTCCCCAGCCGGAACCTGAGTCTCAGGGACTCCCCGTCGTCCCTTTTTTCCTCCTCCTCCTCTTCTTCTCCTCCTCGTCTCCTTCTCCTCCTCTTCCTCCTCTTCTCCTCCTCGTCTCCTCCTCCTCCTCCGCCTCCCTCTCCTCCCTCTCCTCACCTCCTCCCTAATGGGTAAGCTTCGGTAGAGCCGAGTCGACAGTCTCCTCCTCCTCCTCCTCCGCCTTCCTCTCCTCCCTCTCCTCACCTCCGCCCTAAGGGGTAGGCTTCGGTAGACCGAGTCGGCATCGGCAGCGCCCCTGGCTCAACCAGAAATTCAGCGAGTGTCCGTTTGGTATGGTCGTGCTTGAGATTGAACCCCCGAAGCGACAGCCTTCGCGTCGTGATGGGGTGGACTAGGGCGGGGCCCGGGGAAACGAGAAAGCCGGGCCATCGACACCACCTTCGCCGTCGGCAAAAAGGTCGCCACGTACCAGGCGCAGGCACACGGCCCGAGGTGACCCAGACCGCAGCAAGGCCTCGAACTAGCTGAACCCTGGGAGTGCTAAGAGCCGAGAGCGCCCAGCGAATATACACATGTACACACATATCTGTATATAGATATAGAGATATGTATATATGTATATATCTATATATATAGAATATATGTAGGGGAGGAGAAACAGAGAAAGAGAGAGAGAGAGAGAGACAGAGAAAAAGAGAGAGAGAGAGAAATATAAATAAAGAAAGAGAGAGAGAGAGAGAGAGAGAGAACCCACACGCATGAAACAACAATAAATAAACGAGATATCGGACCAGTTGGGACACGCGTGTCTGCAGGCCACAGACCGACACGCAAGTGCGGCGCGCCCGCCGCTCACACGCCGGAGCGCTTCGGCAACAAGGGGCCCTTCACACCCTTGTTTGGGCGGACGGCCTTGTGGGGAGGAGGAACTGGGAGGGGCGAGGGGGGCCCCACCCAACCGAGCTAGTGGTGTACTGTGAAACTGTCTCGCAGTCGTCCGAGTCTCACCTGTAGGGTAAAGCGGAGCCTGCGCCCGTTTTTGGCATGACGATAAGTCGCTGACAGTGGCGGCATCCATCCATCATCCCTTCAGGACCCGCAGTGGTGTTTTTTTTTAGCTGCGTTCAGCATCAGTGCGGGCGGCGACGCGGGTCTGCCAGCAAATGCGCGACACGCCGGCGTCCACCCAGGATGGCCGGCTGCGCCTGGAAGCACCCCAACAGGTGGGGGGGGAAATAACATGAGAGGCGGAGCAGAGGAGGCCGAGGAGGGAGTGAGGGTAGCTCAGCCGCCAACATTTCGGCTGTCCCACACGCCGACTGCTTTAAACTCTGGCCCCTGCCAAGAAAAATAAAGCACTGGCCACAGAAGGAGGCGCAGGAAGGAGGGAGGAGAAGCCGAGAGACGTGCGTGACCCCACTCAGCGCAGCCAGTGCATTGCCGATCTGAGGGTAGCAAGAGGAGACAGAGAGAGAGAGAGAGAAAAAAAAAAGAAAGAAAGAGAAACGAGAAAGGAGCCACTCTGGCTCAAGCCGTGCGCCGCTGGGCCCGCGCCGCCGCTCCGCCTCGTCGGGATGGCCCCTGCCGGACTCGCCGCACGTGCTGACGCCGGTGGCGCGGATGCCGCGCGGCGGGGGGCCCTGGAGGCTGCCCGCGGCGCCCTCCTGGCGGCTCACGCCGCCAGTGGCCTGGCTGTGGAGGCGTCCCGCAGCGGGACGCGCCTCCTGCGAGCGGCGGATGGCTTGCTGCGAGCGGCGGTTGCCGACCTCGCCCGCAAGCCCCGCCGCTCGACGCAGGCTGAAGCTGCCCATCCTCGAGGTGCCGAGCGTGATGGTGCCCCCGATGCTCCCGAGGCTGGCTCGGCTCCGCCAGGCGCCCCCGCGCCTCGGCGGAAGCGCCGCCGCGGACGACGTCGGCGTGGTGCCGCTGTTGCATCGGCCCTCATGGAGGTGGATGGCGGTCGTGCGGCTCAGCTTGCGGGCTGGCCGTGCCGTGCGGTGGGCTCGGTCCCGCCGCCCTGAAGCCAGGCCTGCAGCCGTGAGCGCTGCGCGGCCTCGCGCGAGCGTTCGGGCGTCCGCGGTCGGCTCCGACCGACCGTGGCCGCTCCTCGGGGTGCGAGAGAAACGAGAAAGGAAGGGGACAGGGCGCTGGAGAAACAATAACTCATGGACACAAGGTCACAGCCAAGGGCTCCACTGGCGGACCATCCACACCCAGACAGTACTAACAGTCCCAATCGGGAGCAAGGAACACTGAAGAAGGGGATTGGTAGGACGACCGTGGCGCACCGAAGCCAATAGCGTCTTCCACCCCCGCGGAACGGAGGGGCAGAGGCTTCTGAGTGGGCGGGGCGCCCGCCCCGAGCTGGGCAAAGCACGCGTGACCGATCGACACAGGAGGAGAAGGAAAAGCAAACGCTTGAGGCGAGGGGCAGGGGGACGGAGCACCGCTCCACTACCATTGGACGCCACCCCCCCATAGGGGGCCACAAGCCCCAGGAAGGCAGGACCGCCCCCGACGACGACGACGACGACGACGACGACGACGACGACGACGGCGGAGGCGGCGGCGGCGACGACGACGGCGGGAGAAGAGGGGAAGAGGAAGGAGGGAGGGGGCCGCAACAGCGGAAGGAGGGGGAGACAGGGAGACAGGGGAGAGGGGAAGAGAAGGGAGGGAGGAGGCCGCAGCAGCAGGAGGGGGGGGAGAACGGAGCGGTCCCCTGCCACCTCAGGCGTTGGGCCCCCAGGGGGAGGCGGTGGGGCGGACCAAACGTGCCACTCACGGACCGGTGCTGGCGTTGTCGCTGGTGTAGGCGCTTGCGTTGGTGCCGGCGTCGGCGCAGGTGTTGATGCTGGTGTCGGTGCTGGCGTCGGCGCTGGCGTAAGCGGCAGCGTGCGCTACTGGGACACCGGTGAGCCGCGCAGCTCACTGGTGCGCTGGTGTCGGCGCTTGCGTCGGCGCTGGGGTGGGCGCTGGTGCTCGTGCTGGCGTTGGTGCTGGCGATGTCGCTGGTGTAGGCGCTTGCAATGCTGGCGTCGGTGCTGGTGTCGATGCTGGCATCGGCACTAGCATTTTTTCTGGCGTAGCGTTGTTGCTGGCGTCGGTGCCAGCGTCTATGTTGGACGTCGGAGTGGGGGAGTCGGGGTTGGTGTTGGGTCTGGTACTAGCGACCAGGCTGGAGGGAACACCGGTAAGCTGGGCAGCTCACAGGTGCACACTTGCTGATGGCGTCGATGCTGGCGTCGGCGCTGGTGTAGGCGCTGGCGTTGGTGCCGGCGTAGGAGCAGGCCCAAGTACTGGCGTCGGTGCTGGCGTCGGTGCTGGCGTCGGCGCCATCGTTGGTGCTGGCGTCGGTGCTGGTGGAGGCGCTGGCGTTGATGGCGTCGGTACTGGTGTCGGCGCTGACGCAGGCGTAGCGTCACACGATCGGTGGGGCAGAATTCCGTGACGCACCAACTCCATTACATGTAGACTCTGCGCCGGATCCGCAGGAGCGGTGGAGCGCTGAGCGGGGCCTCTGTCGGCGGTAGTGGGGCCTCCAAGGGCGCTGCCGGGCTCATCGGTTGTGGCATGCTCCCGGCCGCTCGCAGCAGTGGCGGTGGGGCAGAGCGCCTGGGATCTGGGGTCCTCGTGCGGAGGCTGCATCGGGGTCTCTTCGCGGGAAGGGGGCCTGGCGGAAGAGGACCGTGCCTGAGGCAGGCCGCTCCCGACGCGAGGATTCGCGTGATGCGGCCCCTCACCGCTTGGGCCACTGGGTGCGAGGTGATGGTATTCAGAGTGGAGGTCCGTACTCCCGCCAGGGCGGACGGGGTCGTGGTCACCATCGGGCCCCTGGGCCGGGGCCGCCTGCGGAGGGAGGCGGCGTCGGCCGTCGGCAGCACCGCGTATGCGTCCAAGCTGGCGAGGGAGCAGCGCGGGGCGGTGTGGTGTAGGCTGTGTCTCGGCAGCCGCGGCACTGACCTGCAGAAACGCACGAATTGCTGACGCTGTGATCGGCGGTGCGCGGGGGGCTTGTCCGCGAGCCAGTGTTCGTGGTGCTGGGGCGGCGTCTTTTCTCACGGGGCTGCGCACTCGGGAAACGGGCTTCTGCGGGGTCGTGGGACTCGGCGTGTCCTCGTCACTCGCTCCTTGTGCGTTTTGCCAAATTCGGCTCGCGTGCAAGCGCCTTCGACGGAACCATCGGCATCGCTGCCAGCCGCAGCGTCGGAGAGGGCCTCTCGAGGGCAGCCCGGATCCCGGGGTTCCACGCCCAAGCGGACGCGGAGCTTCCGTTCCGCAAGATGCTGCGCGAGATCAGGCGGGCGTGGTTTGCGACCTTGGTTTACATCGACCAGGTCCAGACCTCGCTGACCCGAAATATCCCATGGCCACCGTTTAAGCTTTGCGCGCCGCTCACCCGGCTAAGGAACAACTGCTTGTACTCCAGCCGTGGAGCGCAAAAACCCACAAGCCCTCTGGGCGAAGGTGGTTTAAGGCGTTTCCTCTTCCAACCCCCTTCTTCCCCTTCGGGTCGGGGTTTATCACTGTTCCCTATTGATAAACACCCCCTCCCCCAGGCGACTGGTAGTCAACCAAGAACCATGCGGGCACCCCCCCACCATCCCTTGTAAAAAAAATGCAAAACACACTTTGCCTGCAAATTCGGAGCATGCGCAGCCAACCCGATGCGGCCGGCCTCCCCCCACCATCCTTCTCACAAAAACAATACAGAGTACACTTGACGGCGGCGGCGGCTGCGGCGGCTGCGGCGGCGGCTGCTGGGGTGGCGGCGGCGGCGGCGGGGGCGGCGGCGGCGGCGGCGGCGGCGGTGGCGGTGGCGGCGGCGGCGGCGGTGGCAGTGGCGGACGGCGGCTGCGGCGGCAGCGGCTGAGGCGGCGGCGATTTGGCAGCGGGGGCGGCGGCGA